GATGGATGAAGATGATATGAAAAATTATAATCATTTGGTTGTGGAATTGGATGGTGTCCTTCAAATACTTGTTGGTTTTGAGTTCCAATTTTTTCCATGGCTTCATCATAAAGGTTTATAAGTTCATCTTTAAATTTTCCATTGGGAAGCAATTTTTCGATCCCCCGAATTTCTTCTATAAGTGAAACAGAAGGTGCAGCACCCATTACACTAATAATAATGATAAATTATGATAAGTAAAACTATATTATATTACATCATAAATACATTATAATACATTTAATTATATTTATTAACCCAAGTAACAAGCCAAGACTTTGTTCAGGAAATCGTTCAATATTTTTTCCAAATTCAAATTTTCTACCAAATGCCCAAGAAGGAATCCATGCTATTATAAAGTTATTATTATAACAAGATTAATATTAAGAATGAATGATAATAATAGATTATAATAATAATTAATAATAAACTAACCCGGATTTTCTTCATTTCCAATTTCATAAGGATTAAATTCGTACCACCTATAATGATCTTTCTTCATTTTATGCTTTTCAAACATTTCTTCGTAATTTGGAAATAATGCCGCTTCTTCTGGTTTAAGAGCATCTTCCTTCCATGGACGAACATGAAAAGTTCTATAAAATATAATAAAATATAATAAGATTAAAGTAATAAAATTTATAATAAATTTTATAATAAACTTGTTGTAAACTTACGAAACATAAAGAGGCATTAAATTCTTTCCACCATCAATATATTTCCTTTGTTCACTCAATTTAAAATCACCAAACTGTTTTGTGGGATCTTCACCGATCATAAGTTTTGCGGCTAACAATGCACTGAAAACATCTAAAATTGATAATTTCATCCCGGTTGCTTTTTTCCGGATTAATGATCCAAATGTTAATTCAACAGCTGTCTGTGGATCAGAAGTTTCAGCAAATCCTTTTAAGACGCCATATGCATCAATAAAACTATGTTCAAGTCCGGTTCTATAAAATTCTAACAATGCTTGAATTGGATTCTCGTGTGATTGACCAATTGTTGAATATAGTTGACTCATATTCCAGCAACTACCACTGAGACCTAAAATTATATTAAAAATAATAACAATAATTATATTATCAGTTATATGCTATATATGTCATTATCAGTTGTATATATATATATATATATTCACCTGCAAGATATACACCACAATCATAAAGTCCAGATTCTTGGATGGCCCTGAGAAAAGCTAATTAAACATAATAAAATATAATAAATTATAAGATATAATAAATTATAAGATATAATAAATTATTAGATAAACGTGAATAATAAACATAATACCAGTAAAAGAAATCATGGCCCTGTATCCTCCACCGCTTCCGATAAATGCAATTACTGGAATATCATCAACATGAATTTCACTAACATCGACTCCCACATATTTTGCGAATGCTTCACGGATAAAAAGTTTTCTATCATGAATAAATTTTATTTCTTCTTCACTTAAATCATTATTATTTCTGAATATATTTAGAATTTATTTAAAATTTATTTAAAATTATTTACTTAAAATTTATTTAAAATTCGTTAAATATATTTAAAATATATTTAAGATACCTCACAGTTGCGTCCCATTCAAGTTCGGGATAAAGAGTAGTGTCCTTTAATTTCTCAATAACTCTATCATCCAAATCATCAAAAGCTTTCATAACATTTCCTTCGGCTTTCAAAGAATGAAAACTCTTTGCTTCATGTTCAATAGCTTCTTTGATTTGTTCGAACCATGAATGTCTGAAAATATTTTAATTTATAACATAAATATTTTTTATATTTATAATTTATTATATCTTTTATAATTACTTTTCTTCGGGTACGGCCATTTTCTAAATCTGAAAGGTTAAATTTTTAGGTAATATTTTAAGTTAAAACTAAAAAAAAACTTTCAATTTAAAAACTTAAAAGATTTTTTTTCATTAAATAAAATCCACCGACGAAACCGGTTGTACTCAATATTTAATAAATGAACGAATTTAAATTACTTGATTTAGCAGTTAAATACTGTAAAAGTAACAGTATGGTTTAACTATTTTTGTTATTATACCTTGATGTGATGCGTGCATGCATTAAAACTTATTTAGCTGATAATTTTTCCGATGTTTATTTGTTTATTTTTTTTTTTCTTTGGAAAATTTCTTTAAGTAATAAAATTCTACATTAATTGTAAATTTTCTTTGGCTAAGATGGTAGGTTCTTTCCTTAATGTCATTACGAATTCCTTTACGATATACATTTTTACAGTATATAGATAATGAATGCTTGTATAACAGTATTCAGTTAAACAATTTAATCGGAATTTTATAATATATACTCATAATCAGAAAACGGAAATAAAGATAAAGATTGGAATTAAGGTAGAGGTAGAGATAAAAGATAGAAGAAAAAACTTTTACTTCACGATCACGAATGGAGTTTGATTAGATTATTTTAATTTTTCCTTCAGATCATGATTTTCGCGAGATGACATAAGTCTATTTTTTTTTTTGGTAAAAAATTTTTTTTAAAAAATCTTTGTAATTTAAGCACAAATTATTATATTGGTTAATACAATACAATGAAAAACAAACTTTGACTGTTGGCATTAACACAAAATAGAATAAGAATATATATTTGTTCATGCAATTAAAATTGGGTCCTAACCAGACCAAAGTTAAGGTTAGGGTTGATTTAAAAAGATCTACATAGACCGTAGTTTATAATCCTGATCAATCGGCGGCGTCTGAGGTACAAGCATCGATCCGACTTTAAACTAGCGATTATAATTCCTATGCTATGTTAGTATTTTCAAGTATTTCTCAAGTATTATTTTCTTAATAGTAAAATAATTTTATTATCTTTTTCAATAATTTTTAGTTGTAAACATTACTAGAAAGTAAATACGTAACCATAACTTCAATTTACATTTGTCATGGACAATTACTTCAAATCTTCACGAGAATTATATGGAAAGATCCCTTCCAAAAAAACTGTTCGTTTATGGCCAGAACTTTATCATGAACTTATGTAATAGTTTATTACTGGAATTGCTGTTGATTATCAATTATTTATTTTAATTGATTTACATCGATGATTGCCTCCAATAGATTCTTTGTTTATTTTACATTCTCATTTAACGCTTTAAAATACATACATTTATTTTTTATGCATAATTAATCCAATTTTTTTTAATATTTCACGTCTTCATTAATGAAATATTTATTAAATCCAATATGTATGCTTTCTTATAATCAATAAATTTTATTTCCATTTCAAAATACTTAATAATAATAACTAATACATAATAAATATTTATTTAATATAATAAAAATAAATAATAAGATAGAATAAATTATTTATAAATTATGGAAAATTAATTCCATTCAATCTTGCATGTCTCTTTTTCTTCCAAGTATCAATGATAATTTCTT